ATCCCTGCCATGCTCTGCATTTAAATACTCTCCTTTTGAGAAATAGCTCTTGGCCTGCTACCGGGCCTTAGTAGAGACTGAACAATTAACCATGGTAACCATGGGCCCCCAAGTTACCATGGGACCTGAACTGCTATTCATGAAATGAGTGTTATTTGATCCATTAGGTCATCAAGTTGGGTGTGCACAGCAGTACTCCATGAAGTGGAAGTGGTTGTGTGTGTGTGTGTGTGTGTGTGTGTGTGTATAAATAAAATCATGCCCAAGCAGGCCCTGGAGACACAAATACCCTATGATCAGTTGGCAGAGGAAGAGAAGGCTCGGACCTGGCTTACAGGTGATTATGCGTGATATGCAGGCATCACCCAAACATGGACAGCTATAGTGCTACATCCCCTTCCTGGAACATCCCTGAAGGACATTAGTGAAAGAAAATTATCCAGTGGGCAGAACTATAAGGAATACAACTTTTTCTGACTTTTCTTGGAAGGAGAAATGTCCAAACATGGGATTACATCCTGATTCACAGGTTGTAGCCAATGCTTTGGCCAGATGGTCAGGGACTTGGAGGGAACATGATTGGAAAACTGGTGATACGCAAGGTTGGGAAAGAGCTATGTGGATAGACTTGTCTGGGTGAAAAATGTGAAGATATTTCATCTCATGTGAATGCTCACAAAAGGTGACCTTAGTATAGAAGGATCTTCATAATCAATTGGATAAGATGACATGTTCTGTGAATACCAGTCAGCCTTTTATCCCAGTCACTCCATCATCATGCAACGGGCTTGTGAAAAAAGTGGCCATGGTGGCAGGGATAGAGGTTATGCATGGGCTCAGCAAAATGGATTTCCACTCACCAAGGCTGACCTGGCTACAGCTGCTGCTGAGTGCCCAAACTACCATCATCAGAGACTAACACCAAGTTGCCAATATGGCACTATTTCCCAGGGTGATCAGCTGTCTACCTGATGGCAGGTTGATTACATTGGACTACTGTGTTAGACTATTTTTTTGTTGTTTACAACAGAATACCTGAAACTTGGTAATATATAAAGAAAATAAATTTATTTCTTACAGTTATGGAGGCTGAGAAATTCAAGGTCAAGGCGTTGCATCTGGTACAAGTCTTCTTTCTGGTGAGGACCCTCATAGAGGTTGTTTTTGTATGCCCAAGGTGGTGCAGGGCATCACATGTTGAGGCGACTGAGGAGTGTGCTCACATATAGTTCAGGTCTTTCTTCTCCTTCTTATAAATAAGAAGTTTTACTCTCATGATAACCTGTTAATCCATTAATCCACGAATGAAAAATTAATCCATTCATGAGGGCTCTGTCTTTTAAAGGCCCCATCTCTCAATACTGCCACATTAGGGATTAAGTTTCAACATTAATTTTGGAAAGACATTGAAACCATAGCAACTTCCATTATAAAAAGGCAGAATTTTATTACTGGAATAAACATTTACTCTGGATGCTGGTTTGTCTTCACTACATACAATGCTTCTGCAAAACTACCATCCATGGACTTACAGGATGCCTTATCCACTGTCATGGCATTCCATACAGTATTGCTTCTAATCAAGAAACTAAGTTCACAGCAAATGCAGTGCTGAAATGAGCTCATGCTCATGAAATTCACTGCTTTTACCAAGTTCCCCATCATCTTGAAGTACCTGGCTTGACAGAACAGTGGAGTGACCTTTTAAAGATTGCAAGCTAAGTGACAATACCTTGCAGGGCTAGAGCAAGGTTCTCCAGGAGGAGATATATATGCACTGAATCAGTGTCCAATATATGGTGCTGTTTCTCCAATAGCTAGGATTCACAGGTCCAGTAATCAAGGAAGGGAAATGGGAGTGACAACACTCAGTAACAAGCCTTGTGACCCACTAGCAAAAGTTTTGCTTCCTTTCCTCACAACCTTATACTCTGCTGGCCTAGAGGTCTTATGCCCAAAGGGAGGAATGCTTCCACCAGAAGATACAATTATTCCATTGATCTGGAAGTTAAGATTGCCACCTGGCCACTTTGGGATCCTCATGCCTTTGAATCAACAGGTAAAGAAAGGACTTACTCTGATAGTTGGAGTAATTCTGACTACTAAGGAAATCAGATTGCTACTCCTCAATGGAGGTAAGGAAGAGTATGTCTGCAATATAGGAGGATCCACCAGGGCCTCTCTTAGTATTATCATGTCCTGTAATTAAAATCAATGGTAAACTATTACAACCTAATTCAAATAAGACTACTAATGTACTTAGGAATGAAGATTTGGGTCACCCTACCAGAAAAAGGACTATGACCAGGTGAGGTGTTTGCTGAAGGCAAAGGGAATACATAATCAGTAGTGGAAGAAGGTAATTATAAATACCAGCTACTACTATGTGACCAGTTACAGAAATGAAGACAGTAGTCACTATGAGTATTTCCACCTTATTTTGTTATATGTTTGTGTTTGCATGTGTATGTGTGTGTGTGTGTGTGTGTAGCAAATATCTTTTTCTTCTCTAATCTCCTTTTCACGTAACACAAGATGTATGAACTTTTTATCATAGTATTTAACTTATGAGATATCAAAGAGATTAAATGCAAAGACTTCACATCTTCTCCTGGGGAAAAGGTTATTCACTTTCCACTACATGCAGAAGAGTTGTATCATGTTAAGTAGAAGTATGGTTATTGTCTTTTTTGGGGGATAAAGTATGGTTTAAGATGTGTATGGGTGCCAATTTGACGAGCATTGGACTTGTGATGGTTAATGTTATATGTCAACTTGGAGGGTGTTTTGGGATGAGATTAATGTTTAAATAAGTGAACTTTGACTAAGCAGATGGCTCTCCACAATATGAGTAGGCCTCAGCCAATCAACTGAAGGCCTGAATAGAATAAAATGGCTGACCTCCCTGAGCAAGGGGGAATACTCTAACAGACTGCCTTTGGACTTCATCTGTACCATGAGCTCTCCTGGGTCTCAAGGCTGCCAGTCCACATAGCAGATTTGGGACTCACCCCAGCCACCATAATTTCATGAACCAAGTCCTTATAATAGATGTGCTTCAATATATGTATACACATCCTCTTGGTTCTGTTTCCCTGGAGAACCCTAATACACAGGGTAACCCTATAATCTTAGGGTAGTTACTGAATATAAAATAGAGGACAAACATGTATGCCTCCATTTAACCTTCATAATTATTGTCTTGACTAAATTCCCCATGGTTATAGCATCCATGGCCCTAAAATATCCAGTAGTGGGCATGGACTCTCAGACTCATTAAATAATAAATCAAAATTAGATTGAGTCTTTGGCATTTACAAACTGACTTGAAAAAATGAGCCTCCGTGAAAAACTCCCCAACAATATACAGAGCTAAGAGAGCCTAGTGTCAATTAGACATTGACAAGACAATGGCTCTTAGCTCAAGATAGAGCCTTCAAAGGATTGCAACCCGTTTTACAAGGCCTATTTAGATAAGAGGGAGGGTGATTATATCCACTGCTTCTCCATTTAACAGCTTAATTTGGCCCATTCCTAAACTTGGAAAGAATGAATGAGACTTCTTGATGAATTACCACAGCCTTTATGCTGTGGTCCCAGCAATTAGACCAACTAATTATTATTACAATGGAAATTATTGACTCCATCCAATCAGCAACTGATAAATGTTTTGCTATTGTATATTTGGCTAATACATTCTGTTTAGTGCATACTTCAGTAGCCTCTCTTCCTTCCCCTCCAAAGTGAAATGGTACACCTTTACCTGGCTATTTAGAGGGTACCTCAACAGCTCTGCTATCTCACACAGTCATTGGAGGCAAGACCTTAACTGCATCTAACTTCCTCCAGGAGCACAGATATGACACCACATTGATGGCATTCTTTTCTAAGAGAATTCTTTAGAACACTCATTCAGGACATACAAATATTCTAAGAAGGAGCTCACAAAAAGGGGATGGACCACTGCCCCACACAGGGCACGAAGTCTTGCCACCTTGTTTAAATTCCTGAAAATTATTGGTAAACTGAGGGCTGTTCCATCTCTGACAACATTAAAGCATGCCAAACATATTTAGACCTTTGTGGGTTCTGGAGGCAACATTTTCCTCACTTACAAATTTTACTTTGGCCCATTTATGCCATTACTTGCAAAATAGGCCCACCTTGAGTGGGACCCCCCTCCCAGCAAAACACTCTAGAATTTTTTCAACCATATTAGTGCCACTCCCACCCTGAGACTTCTTCACTGTAGAAGCTTTAGCATCCTCCTCTAATGCCTCTTGGAGTCTTTATACCATCCATGACGGCTATGAGTTGCCCATGACCTTCTGATGCAAGAAACTGCCTTCGTAGGTCTTATGCTGTATATTGTTAGAGTGGCAACTGCTGGATACATACTGGAGTCTCCTGGAAATAGAGGCTCTCATAGGCACTCAGCTCATTACCTTCCATTTCCAGCTGCGATTAATAAACTTTTGAATACCCTGTTGATGTGTATTATCGCTCTCGATATCTAAACCAAATTTTGCATGGGGTCCATTCTGTGTCTTTAGAGTGGCCATAACAGGTGGCTTATGTTTGTAAAAAGAATCCTTAGGTGGATATATGAAAGGAGAGTGGAGTTGTAGGGGAATGGCTCCTCCATGATGACCTGGCACCCTTGCATGTATCCATATAGGCTTGAACTGCAGCTAATCTGAGTTTTGGTTAAATGCCTTGTGATTCTCCCAGAACATGAGAAGATCAGAGGCTGTAAGGAGCTGCTATAAGGCCTTCTCTCAGTCACTTCCCTCTCTCTTCTGAGAGGCTGTCTTGAATGAATTTCTCATCACTTACCAGATTCTGATGAGGTACGGAACTTTCTGTCCTGTGCCCTTTGGAATAGAGCTGTAGAATATATAACCACTCAGCCGCAGTATAGATTTGCTCCTCAGCCAGGGAGTATCCCTCAACTTGCGTTATAATCCTCTAGCCCCTTTTGTTTCTTTGTTGTCTTTTAGGGTATATGAGACAAGGACCCGGGGAGTTGGCCTCTTTGGTTCATTCTTTGCACTGTTTATGTAAGTACTAAACTGTCTCAATCTAAAAGTGTTTCCTTGTATCTTTACCAGTCAAATCAGTCAGGCCTTGGCCTTGTCTATATTAGCTTGTTACCATATAATCCTAATTGCTGTCTTATGTCTTTTACCTGTAAACTAAAATAATTAGGATACTTGTGTTCATTCAAAGGTTCTTACATTAAATAAATACTGAAGGAATACAATGTTTTTAACTCATTTGTATTTGGGAAGCCTTAAGCCTTCAGTGAATTATCAAATGCAGCTGTGGTGCCAATTTAGCACCTAAGGGTGCTAAAGCACACAGTACTTTATGAAGCTAAGAAGTCAGGAATATACTGGTACTGGAAAATCCTGAAAAATAAAGGCATGGTTTATAGATGAAATATTCTTTCCAATAAAGGGAAACTTAAAAAAAAGAGAAACTTGATCAGAGATGACAGTCTTATGGTATCTGATTTTTCATATTTTCAGGTAAACAAATACCTGGCAAAATAACAGCTATGTATCTTTCACAAGTAGAAGGTGTGACAACCATTTATATAATAAACATGTTAGGAACATCTGTGGGATGCCATATTCCAGGCTCTGTGCCTGACTCAGGACACAGACACAACCCAGTCTGGGTCTCAGAGCCAGTGGACCTCAGAATTAAGAAGACAGAGATATTCAGGCTAATAAGTATAATTTTGATAAGAACTATGACAACACAGGGCTGGGCATGGTAGCTCATACCTGTAATCCCAGCACTTTGGGAGGCCAAGCCAAGCAGATTGCTAGAGCCCCAGAGTTTGAGACCAGCCTGGGCAACATAGTGAGACTCCATCTCTACAAACACTAAAAAAATAGCCAAGTGTGGTGGTATATACCTGTAGTCCCAGTTACTCGAGAGGCTAAGGCAGGAGGATTGCTTAAGCTGCAATGAGCTATGATCATGCCACTGCACTCCTGTCAGGGCAATACAGCAAGATCCCATCTCTATGAAAAAAGAACTTTTTCAAAAAATATCAAGAAGGGCTTCTCAGAAGCAGCGATTTACAAAAGTAGGGACTGTAATTACTGCAAATTTACAGATGAGAAAATTGAAAGTTAAGAGAGGTAAACTAATCTGGCAGAGGCCATACAGCCTCTAGTCAAGACAGTTTTGAGCCATAGCTTGTTGGATTCCAAATCAATAAATTGTTTTAGTTTACATCCACCAAAGTACAGCTTCCCTGGCTCTGCTCGCCTCCAAACTTAAAAAAATAATCTGCTACAATCAGAGTAGACTCAAATTAGAAAACAGTTTCCAGGGAAAACTTGATGAAAGTTTTTCTGGTATATCATGGTACCTTCTCACAGGGGAATCTTGGAACTGAGAGCTCTGTCCAGCTATGACTGGTAAAAGACTCTAAGGTAAACTTTTCACCTCCCCTTTTCCCAGTAACAGTTGGTTCTGGGGAGCTGCTTGCACTTGGGGTTAGAACACACTTAAAGAACAGAAGTAGAAGGGGCAGCTTCCGCTTCAGTACTTCACACTTAGGAAGGAATTCATCTCCCCTAGGAGGGACCTCTTATACTCTTCTCACTTTCTGCCTGTTCCTTCTTGACTCACAGAAACATCAGGGGCAGACTCCACATTTGTTGATGTAAGCACGGCCTTTACAGAATTTTAAGCACAGTCCAGAACTGAAGGAGTATCTGCAATCTGTGAAATGCAAAATGGTTCACTGAAGTCAGGAATGTTAACTGCTTAATTTCCTGTTTTACGTACCTTCAAATACAACTTTAAACTTAATTATGTGCAACTAACAAGTCTACAGCTATTGTTTCCCTAAAAACCATTTAAAAAGTGGCTTATATAGGTTTTTATAAAATTCCATAAACTTTCCCCTTGGAGACTCCACCTCTTTGATTTTTCACATTTGTATGAACTGGTATGTAGGTGTTATCAAAACCCCTGCTCACCAGCATATAAGAATCCATTCTTACTTTCCAGTATGAATAAATAAGAATTTAGCTTTTCCTATTTCAATGGGCCAAATTAAAAGAAAAAACTGCTAACATTGGTCTACAGCAAGGGAACTGCTAGCCACTCCAGGGTATTTCTCCCTTCTCTTTTTGGGCATTTGACCTCTTGGGCCAGAAGCAGTATGCCACAGCCAACCTTTTTTAAACAATCTAAATGTTTTCCTTTTTTTCTACCTTATATATTAGGCTTAATAAGAAGAACTCCAGTAATTACTTTTATAAACTTTATTACGGAAAATGCCAAACATACAAAAATAGAGATGAATATATATAATGAACCTCATTTTAGCCGTCACCCAGCTTCAACAATTATCAAGGCCAATTTCGTTTCATCAATCTTTGCAATGCACTTAACATCCAGATTTACTATTTTGAAGCAAATTCCAAGAATCATATCATATCAGCCACAAATGTTTGAGAATGTAGATGAGGACCCTTCTTTCTAAGATAATGATAAAACCATTATCCTAATACCAAATACCCCACCAATGTTCAGATTACCCCGATTGTCTCATAAATGTATTTGTTTTACAGTTCGGTCAAATCACAATTCAAATAAGATCTATACAATTGGTTAATATGTCTCTTAAGTCTCTTTAAATCTATAGGTTCATCCTCCATCTCTTTCATCCTTGCAAGTTATTTACAGAAGAAACTGAGTCATGTGTCCTGTAGTTTCTTATAGTCTGGATTCTGCTGATCTCATCTCCATGGTGTAAAATAATGTTTCTCTGCCCTATTTTCTAAAGATTAGGAATTATTTCTAGGGGCGTGGTCAAATTTAGGTTCAATATTTGGGCAAATATTTTAAGAGACGGGGTCTCATTATATTGCTCAGGCTAGACTAAAGCTCCTGGGCTCAAGCTATTCAGCCTCAGCCTCCTGAGGCAAATGCTTAACACTGTGCCTGGCTTTGCAAATATATTTTATAGATGGTGTAGAATACTGCCATCTGGAGGCACATGTCTGGGATGACACAGACATAGGAGTAAGAATTTTTGCTTTCTAGTATCTCACAGCTGCCTTGAAGCAGTTGTGTGACACTTGATAAACAAAAGTCACATACATGCTAGACAGATTAGAAAGGGATTGTTTAACCATTCAGTATCATTACAAAATATGAACTATTTAAACAAATCTTCAGTGATGTCTACCATATTCTAAGCAATATCTTATATGCTAGATATATAAAAAAGACTAAGGAAACAAGTTCCTTGGATTCAAGGGCATATAATCTGGTGGGAAATACAGACACATAATCATAAAAGCACAAAAAAGGCCACAGGTGCCAAGTTAGAATTCTGTACAGATACAGCGGTAGTGCAACAACCTGGAGAATAGTCATTGTAATAAACAGGGAAGAAGTGTCCAAAAGCATAGGATGAGCTGTGTCCTTGGAGTGCGAAAGAGCTCATCTGTGCTTCACAATTCCATTCATCCATTCACATACTTGATCCTTTCAAAGTAAATCTGAACAACATCTATGCCATTCACCTAAAAAAAAAATCTTATTAATAGGGTTTTATTGGTTCATCAGTTCCTCTAATCAACAAATATTTATTGAGCTCCTACTATGGCTCATCAACCATTTTGAATTGGAAAAGCCTCCAGTGAATTATCCAATGCAGTTTCCCTGTGAGGCCAGATGAGAGCCTGAGGGAATAACAGATTGTCCCAGGTACATTATGAAGCTGAGAAATCGGGAATACACTTGTAGTAGACATTTCTAATTTGTGGATCAATGACAAATATCTCCAAATTCCAGGCACTGTTCTAGGCTCTAAGGATATGGGGGAGGATTCAGTCTGGGTCCTAGTCCTCGAAAAGTTCATATTCTAATAGGCCAACAGTCATTCAGAAAGATGATTGCAATGCGAGAATGATGCTGAGAATATTTGTTTTGACTGGTGCTTCCACAAAAGGAACTCTGAAAAAGAAAACTCTGGCCAGCTGTTAGTACTGTAAGCTCTAACCTCCCTTTTCCCAGTCAACAACTATGGAGGGAAGAAATGCTTTTTCTTACAATTGAACTCCACTTAAAGGCAAGTGAGACAAGGAGCAGCTCCAGCATCAGAGCCCTTTAAAGCATCTATCCCACAAGGGCCCTCTAATGTTGCTGTTTCTTTACAAGCTCTTACATATACACACTTCAATTTTTATCGATTTTCTAAATACAAAAATGTTGAAATCTTTACAATGATTCTGTCAAATGAAACTATATACAGGACTTAAAAATATTTATAGCCACCTTTCACCCCTTTCAGGGTTACTTCTTTCAAAGGTGACCTGATCAACAGAACATAGGTTTCTTAGAAAATATGTTAACCATCCAGAGCAAATTCTGTATCAAGCAACCAAACTTACCTTTACTCCAACATGTCATCTTCAAAATTTTTTTAAAATAAGAAAAAGTAGGTACTTGTCCAGTGGGGCACGAGTGGAAAGTCAGTCTTTTTTATTTATTTATTTATTTTTGAGACGAGCGCCCATACTGGAGTGCAGTGGGGCGATCTCGGCTTGCTGCAACCTCCACCTCCCAGGATCAAGCGATTATCCTACCTCAGCCTCCCGAGTACCTGGGATTACAGGTGCGCACCACCATGCCCAGCTAGTTTTTGTATTTTTAGTAGAAACGGGGTTTCACCATGCTGGCCAGGCTGGTCTCGATCTCCCGACTTGGTGATCTGCCCGCCTCGGCCTTCTAAAGTGCTGGGATTACAGGTGTGAGCCACCAAGCCCGGCCCCCTGCCCCCACCCATACTCTCTTCAAAAACTAGGCTTTTCCTCAACTGTCACAGGAGATGAGATCTAGAAGAGGAACCTTGAATTTACATAGCGAAACCCAAAATTTCTTAATAGAAAGTGCATAACAGTGACCCATAGAACAAGACTCCGTCTCAAAAAAAAAAAAAAGGAACCCCAAATACCTGTCAATAATGTTTAAGAGATATGACATAGTCTAGGTTGCTCTACAAATTAGGAATGATCTGTTCATTTGAATACCCTTTTCACAAAGTAGGCTTTCCTTCTACCTAATTTCAGACATGGCTGGGGGAACAGAGGAAGGTCCAGAAGAGAGATTTAGGTATTCTAGATGGGATTCCTGACTTTAAGCAAGTATTGAGGCAAACGTGAGAGCTTTTAATTTGGCACCCAGAAAAGGCTGTCCTGTGAGACAAAACAATTACTCTCTATCATTGAGAGGTTGTTCAGGTATCCTAATAGTTTGACAACTCTGTACCAGCTGAACATCACTAGAACTAACTCAGCTGGGATGTAATCGCCATAAAAGATTCCATTCCTGTGGTTACTGAGAGTCGGGGAGGCTTAAGCGGAATGTCACTACATTCAAATATGGGAGGGAGACCACTTTCTTTCAAAAACAAACTTAAATCCAGAGAACCATGGTTCTTCTACGGTATCCAGTAAGGGGCAATGGGAGTTGGAAGTTGAGCATGGGAAATCAAATTCTGTGAATACAGTTTTTCTGGTAAGATGTGCTTGGCTAGCAGATCCCCAGCAGCATCTATTCAATAAGGTTAATCTACATGGGAAATAGCGATTTGAAGTCAGCAGTGAAAAATTACTTGTGAAAATTTTTTGAAAACCAAATGATCCACATAGAAATAGAAAAAGAAATTTCTGAAAGGGGCAAATGAGATCCCATTTCTGAGGCTAAAGTGACTGTCGAGTGCAGAAAGAGCACAAGATGTAGAATTTCCTAATGTTTTT